TTATGCCAACTGCTGGTCTCAAAAGTGAACATTTTTAATAGAAAAAAAATACACCTCCATGCCAGAAAGGCATGCAAATAGACAGCTGCTAGAGAACTGAACTAGGTATGGGGTTAGGTGTTAAATTTGTGAGAGTTGGTAATAAATATTTAGCAGGGGAAGGTATGTCAGCATATCTGACTTATTTGTTTGGCTTCAAGGACTTTATCTTATGCTTGTGCATCTCTCTCACAGGTGAGAAATTTAATGACCTAATCATGCATGACCACTGTGAACTTTGAAGGTATGAGCATCCATATAGATGAACTGCCCTATTAATTTATTGCCCCTGTGGGAATTAGGACAGTGATCTAGCATCCCATCCTGGTGGTGAATTTCTTTATGTATTTAGGAAGGCAGGAGAGAAGATAACAACCTTCCTGGTACCAGGAGCCAGGTGGGAAGACGTTCTCACAGAGGGTCTGACTACAACTCCTAACAGATGTTCTTCTGTTATCTCAGGGCTGCCCAATCATGTCTGTCTGACCCCCTATCTATCACAAAAGTACCCTGGAGTGAGTGTAATGTGCTCAGGCAGTGACCCCCTCTTCTCGGTTCTCTATCTCATCAGCATTTGGGGCACACGTGCACACACACACCTGGTATGTTTTTCAAGTGGCCAGGACCAGGATTCAAACTGTACAGTTGGCCTTATGGGGTTCAGTTCTCTTAACTACGAGGCCATGGGGCCAGCACGAGTAGGATTTATTTCAATGCAGACAACTGAGGCGCTGAGTTTTGTCTCTATGACACCAGCTTGTTTACCCTCCCAAGGATGGCTCTGATTTATTTCAGCTTTCCAGCCTGCCATTGGCATGAAACTCAATTTGCTCAGTTTCTGCAAAGCTGGATTGATGTGGGGTCTCAATGATACCAGAGAGCAGGAAGGAAACGGAACAATTAGACACTAGGTGTAGCCCAATGTTTGAACAGTGGCACTACCAAGACAGGCTGCAGTTTTTCTCTTTTGCCACAAGGTGGAGAAGGAAGAAGTGGAGTGAGAGGTCTGAACATAGGCCTCTCTGATTGGGCACCTCTTTCTCTTATAGAAGGGTTAACTGACTAGCCATTTATTTTTATGCAAAAAGGCATGCAGCCAAGATCACCTTTGCTGCCTATCTGATCTTCTTGAATGCCCTAAAGGCATGACTTATACTAAATCAATGCCACCAGCATTTCTCAAACTGGAGACCTGGATGTGATCCTTGAACACTTCCTCTCTACCAAGCCACACACCAAAGGATCCATTAGGCCCTCTCCTTCCTCAGTGTCGAGTCCACTCTCTCCTCTTCACCTCTCACTGAGTTGAGGCCACTTCTCCCCCTGAATAATGTAAGTCTTCCCAACTGGTCTCTCAGCCAAGTGTGCCTTGGCTCTGGGCCTTAGCACATGCTGATCCCTCTGCCTGGAATGTACTATTCTCATGTTGCCTAACTTATTTTCCAGGAAGGTTGTCCATGAATGGGATCTTTCATGGTTAATTTTATGTGTCAACTTGACTGTCCAGTTCAGTGACAGCTCCTGGGTGTGTCTGTGAGGGTGTGTCTGTGAGGGTGTGTCCAGATGAAATTAGTAGTTGACTCCGTGAACTCAATGAAGCAGAGAGCCCTCCCATGTGGCCTCAGTCATCATGCAGTGGGACTGGTTGTAATTATGCATTGATCCCAGTGTCTACCGCTGTGAAAAACAGTGTTACTGAGACAGTGGTCCTCAAACTGAAGGATGTGTTAGAATCATCCTGGGGGCTTGTTTTCATGTTCACATCCAGAGCTTCTGTAGGGTGGTTTAAGAATATGCATTCCCAGGGACGAGCAGTTAGTGAAAATAATATGCATTCCCAGGTTCTGGTGAGGGACCCACTTTGAGAACCATTTTACTAAGAGGACTGGCATGTTTCCTTGGGAAATCACTCAAACCTGAAAAGTAGAAACTCACTGTCCTAATTCTTAACCCTGGCTGTAGCTAGAATCAGCTGGTAAGTGTCTGAAAAGCTGAATGGCCAGGTTGCGTCCCAAGTCGTATAATCATCACAGAGCAATAGAAAATCTGGAGAAGGGGCCAAGACATTGGTAATTTTTATAGCTCCCACAGCAATTCTCATATGTAACCAAGATTGAGAGCTATTGCCAGGGAAGGTCTTTGAAACTCAGCTGATTTTGAACTTCTCTAAGGAAGATGGGGAGGGAGAGGGAGACCAAGGTAACAAGAGCTAGAGTGGGGCTGGGAGCCCCACAGGGAATTCCTCCTTCAAAATTCATGTTAAAATTTAATTGCCAGGCTGGCTCTGTGGTGCAGTGGTAATGCCCAGCTCAAGAGAAGTCAGATCCCATGTGGCAACTGCAGTTGGAATTCCTGGTCTGGTCAGCCTAAAACATGATGGGCATGCATGTGAGTGCCCAAGATCTGAAGGACTGGAGGAAGAGAATTGTAGGTTGACTAGATTCTGTTGAGAATGTCGTACTCCCCATCGCTCATGCACATGCACATGCTTTATTACAAATAAAGGGTAAAACATCTAATGTTAAAAAGAAATTTCCTTAACCTGATTTAATACACACACACACACACACACACACACACACACATTAGTTGCCATTGTAACACTGTTGAGAGGCGGGACCTTTAGAAGGTGATTAGGCCATAAGGGCCCCACCCCCATGGATGGATTAATGTTGCTATGAAGAGGGTGGGTCAGGGGACCAGCAGTTAGCATAATGGCTATGTCACTGGACTCCCATGTAGTGGACCGCGGTTCGAGGCCCGGACCCAGTGGCTTAAAAAACTCATGCTGGGCGCGTGTTCGCACATTCCCAAGATCCCAAGAGGAGAATAGAGGAGAAGGGATTGCAGCGTGGCCATTCCCCCCCCCCCCAGGGGGGTGATTTCTCGCTTTCTGTCTCTCTGTCTCTGTCTCTCTGTCTCTCTGTCTCTGTCTCTCTGTCTGGAGAGCGCACACGCCCTAAAAAGAAAAAGAGGGTGGGTCAGTTATCTCAGCTGTGGGACCCTGATTAAAGGGCGAAGTTCAGCCTCCTCCTTTCCCTCTCTTGTTCTCACTATGTGATGTCTTCTGCCATGTGATGATGCAGCTAGAAGGTTCTTACCAGATGTGGCTTATTGATCTTAGATTTCTTGGCCTTCAGAACCATAAGACAAATAAACTTATATTTTGTTTGTAAGTTTCCCAGTCCATGGTATTCTGTTACAGTAAAGGCAGACTAAGACAAGACCCGAGACGGTATGTCTACTTAGCATAGTCCTGGAGCTCCTCCTCAATTAGCACCTGCCTCTTTCTTTCTGGTCTAGGACATTCAGGAATGAGAGCAGGGCTTTGCCCAGAGCAGGGGCAGCCAGCCCTCAGCACAGCTGCAGGACTGATCCTGTTTGCTGGAGGCCACCCAATCCTGAAGAGCCTTCTGAGCCACACACTTACCTACACTTAGGGGCCCCATGTACTGTGCTCCAGGACCTGGGGGCAGGGGTGTGCCAGAGAGGTCAAAGCGCGGCTGTTCTCTGCTCAGGCCACTGCCCGGTGATCAAACCCCAAATGTCTTGGGTTATAAAACGAGAGAGAATAAGAGAGGCCTGGAACATGACCTTGGGTCCTTGTGCTAGCCTAGGCACCAACCTTTGCCACTCAAAGAAGCCAAGGTCAGTACTGCAGGTGAACATTTCAGAGGCTTGGAATTCTCTTGTCAGTCCCTGGTGGGTGGGCTGTTGTGCAGGAAACTCCCTGGTAGGAATAATGAATATTCATAATAAAGTGCTTATAATAAAAAAATCTTGAAAGGTCAGAGACGATAAAAATCTTAAGTCATTTTCTCAATGGAACTTGCCAGAGGCCCCCTTTAACAGAGAGAAAAACTTAAAGAAAAATGTACTTTCTACCTAAAACAACCATTTTTAGAATCTTTAAACAATAATAAATGCTTAGTGGTTTTACCTCTTAAGTTACTTCCAAAAAGGTATATAAAGTGAAAAATTTTAAATAGGGTTTCTTAAGAGATCCTGGAAGACCTTAGCCCATTGAAAACTCACATCTTTGGCTAACGACAAGCAATCTGGAAAAAGGTGTGACAGGCCAGCCATGGGGGCACAGCAGCAACACAACACTGCAATGCTGAGACCACATGACCAGGTCCCAGAGTTGTCCTGAGGTCTCCCTGCGCACACCAGACACGCCGAGCCCTGCAGGGCTGAAGTTGGCTGAAGCTGGGGATGGATCTCAGTGTGAGGACCCTGGTTGGGATTGCCTCGCTCTCTTTCCTCAGGGAAGAAACCTATTTTTTTTTTTTTTAAAGCATAACATTTTTGAGAAGTGAAGAAAATATGAGATGCTTCATGGGGCTTGGAGACAGGTGGCCAAAGTTCTGGTCCAAATTCTGGCAGGATCTCAGCTCGCGCATTTAACCAAGTCACTTAACTTTTTGATGCCCTTTCTTGCCTTTTCTATATAAGGAAACGGGTGTCTTTTGCTATCCCCAAGAAGCTCAAATAACATTAAAAATTCAAAAGCTTAAGTGAAAACTATGCAATGTCTGAATGCTAATGTAGGGAAGAACTTGGCAAATCAGATCCCAGAAGGATGACACCATGATCGTCAGTGTCTAAAAAGTTTTCCTACATACGGTGTCTGCTCCCCAGCCGGAAGATGTTTCCTATTGCTCACCATATGCTCCATAGCAGCTTACTTTCCCTAATGTCAATCATTCCCCTTCCAGTCCCACCGCACACCCTGCTCCCCTGGCTGGCCCCCTAGGGCTGCTGCTTAGTGATGTCGAATTGTCATCTGAACAGATCTGGCGGTTCTTCAGGGTCACGGGACTCAATCTCAGAACGCATTTGCAAGTCAGGCCCGAGACAATGAACTGACTCTCTCTTCAAAAGAAAAAAAAAAGAACTTTTATTTTTTTCTATTGCATAAATAATGGTAAATTAGACTCTTTTTTTTATACAGATTATATATTTACAGACAAGTTTGGTTAGAGAAAACATCCGGTAAATATGGCAGTCAGTTCTCCTTTATACACTAAGATAACATATTAATAATATATACTTCCTTTGATCAGTGAGTTGCATGCCAAGTTAATTTATATTAATATTTACATTTTATATAAAGAGTTTCTTTAGACTAATCTGCTGACTTTCTCATCACTTCATAGCATAAATCATCAACTAGTACTGAATGAAAAAAAAAGGGGGGCATGTGGATGAGATAAATGGGAGATTGCGGTCTATAGTTTCAGTCTGAGTGGCTCCTTCCAAATAAAAGAGCTGCCATGCTCTAATCATCTCGGTCATCACTGTCCTCGGCTGTGCTTTTATTTACACTCACCGTGTTGGGGGCAAGGATTCCAGTCAATTACTACTGTGCTTGAGAAACAACTCACGTTAGAGTCTAACAACCTCTAGGATCACTGTGCCTCTCAGCTCCATCCAACAGATGGCCATTTGCCAACCCACTGCTTGACCAGACTTTACAAATCTGATTTCCCCTCCAAGGGTATTGTCTTTGGTTAGTCCTTAGCAAAACAGCTTCTTCTTGGATTCAAAATTGGGGAAGAAAAATCAAATCCCACAAAGAAGCCACTCCAGGATTCCTGAAACCTGATTTTCAGGTACCAAAGAAAGAGTATTCATTGATTTTCCTTGGAGAGAGTTGAGAGACACTGGCTTATCCAAATATCTATCAAGAGCTAAAGGGATCCTTTCTTGGTCTAGGTCTTTCCAAGAAAGAACAGCAGGACTTGCTTTAAAAGACTGAAACCTCAGCAAACTTTGTGAAAAGGGAAAGAACAAAAATCTAGGATTTTACATTGGCATGGGTGGGGCAGAAGGGCTGGAGCTTTTTGGGGATCCTGCAGCTGCCCCCTTCCTGCCCCTGTCCATTGACATGGTTGGGTCACCTCTAAAGCAGGCCCCTGTGCTCAGGCATCCGAAGGTCAATGCAGGCAGCTGGTCCCCCCAGGACTGTTAATCTAATTCTTAACAATCACCAGAGATGGTGACTTTCTTTCTTCTGCAGTGTTACGTATAATTACAAACCTCTTATCACAGATACTGGAACTGCTGTGTCGGTGGCCAGAAAAGAAGGAAAGAAAGAAATGACTGGAAATTGTGCTCTTTATTCAGCAGCTTCCAGTTAGGCGCTCTCGGATGGGGAAACAAGCATCTTTTCTTGGAATCTGGCTTTGTTGCTCCCTATTTACTCACAATTTTGAGTCACATGACCTGTGGCGAGGCGACTGAATGCCCTTAATTTCCACACTGGCTAAGACAAGGGCACAAAGCCTATCTTTCATGCTTTCTTGACTCAGCAAATCCTCGGGGAACAAACAGAACCTCTTGCCTACAAGACGTGACACATGTGATGTACGCTAATTTGCATTCTTTCATTTACAGACAATGGATACCAAAAGAGATACTTCATCACAAGTGCCCCTTGGGACTTGTGTTTGAAAAAGCTGCCAGTCCCTCATGCTATTTTCATGGGGGAAATGGGAAGCTTGGCAATAGTAGACGTTCACCCCAATTTGTGATACACAGATTATCGGAATGGGAGGGCTCTTCTGGGTTACCTTTCCTCTGGTTTCAGAGATGAGCAGCCTGAGGCCAGGGAGGGAAGCTGGCTAGTAAGGCAAGAGTCCTGCCTCCTCCAGCGACTTTCCCAGCTGAGAGTGCTGACCATGCTTCGGGTGCTCTGTCCTGCTCTCCTGGCCTCAGTTTAGTAGGTCTGAGAGCCTTGGGAGAGGAGTTCCAGGCTCAGCAGATGTCAGCATCCTCCAAGGAGAGGCCTCTTCTTGAAACTCACAGAGCATGTCATTCGGATCAGGTTGATGGGCAGCCCTGTGGCACTCAATCCCCTGTATGTTCCCAAAGTAGGCCAGATATCCAGGGAAAAGAGACCAGCGTCTGCAGCCCTTTAAAAACTTTTTCAGTCTCTCAGGACCAGGGAGGGAGCAAGAACACAGTTGAGTTTTGCATTCCCTGGGATCTTCCTTCCTAATTAGGTTGCTCTTCCACCCCACTGGAAAATTACGGTCACTCCATCCTTCTCACATGGATAAATACATCTAACGCTGCACGAGGCCCTGGTTGGAAAGCCAGTGCCATCATGCCAGGAGGAAAGAGGTGGCGTGTGAGACTCAGCTCAGGATGTGGAGTGTATTATGCTGTTAAACTACCCAAAGCAGGGACCGAGCAAGTTTTGTCCGGTTTCAGAGGGCAGTCTTTGTGCAACTGGAAAAACTGCTTCTCTGTAGTATATTTCAAGCCAACTGAATCAAATTAATTTTGCCTTGAAGACTTTTGACATTATTGTCATGTCCCCTGAGACCATATGAAGAGGGTCCCAAACTAACAGGAAGTAGAAAGCATAGCTGTTAGAATGACCATGTGTGTCAGCAATGAGCATAGGATGCTAACAGAAATGCTCGACTGGTTGCTGTACTTGACCTTATTCCTCCAAAACTGTCTAGAGCAAGGCCACATGACTGAGGACAGTCCCCTGAGTGACTTAGTCAAAGAAAGTATGAAGTGAAGCTGAACAGTTCTGACACTTAAATTGTCATGGAGACAGAGTCCATAAGAGGCAGCCCTAATCCTCCTCTACTTTGCCATCACTTTAAATAATTCAAATTGAAAACCCTAGCTGCTGATAATGTTTCTTTTCTACTTCCGATAGATTATTTTCCTTCCAGAAAAGTTGAGCAATCAGGTGGTGAGGTTGGATGGCTATGGCAAGGCCTGTAGGACCCTCAGCCTCACGGGGATCACTGGAGAGACTGAGAAAGATCTGAGGCCAGTTCAGACAGATGTTCTCCAGGGAACACAGCTCTGCAGTCCTCCTGGCACTGCGACTAGTGTGTGCCAAAGGCTAGAAGCTTAATTTCAGTGCATCTGTGTCTTATATGGCATTACAGAAAAGGGGGGCCCTCCCGACCCTCTTCCTATCTCAATGGAACTTTATAAAGAACACGATTCCTGTGGGCCTGTAGAGGAGTAGTCAGTGCAGTAGAAGGACCCACCATGATTTGAGACCTCAGGTTGGGAAGAGCAGAGCTCAGCAGCTTCCAAGGGGATGGAGAGCAAAGGTAGAGTGGGAACAGGATTCCATGGCTGGGCAGCCCAACCAGGGGAGGCTCCCCTTGTGGTCACATCCTTCATCTTCTGGCTGTGCCCTCACATAGTCCCAGGGAGGCTGTTAGCTACAGGGTAAGCACGACATGCAAATCTCTCTTTGATGTACGACCTGAGTCTGGACTTATGCCTAGTAGGAGGCATTTGGAATAAAAGGTCAATTTTTCCTCTTCCAGTGCTTAGATAGATCACTTTCTGATGCTGCAGATGAGAGGTTGGGAGGGACATTATTGTCAAAATGAGCTGCCCATCTTTCATTCAGTTCTTTTGGATAACCACAAGACAGACCATTTGTCATATGAAATGTGAGAGGAGAGCAGGTATTGGAAAGAAAACTCCTAGTGCACATCTTGTTCTCAGCAAATGAAACACTTGGGAACTTCTGAAGCCACTGGGCTTGCCTAAGACCACATGCAAACCTCAGTTCACGGAAGTTCACATTTCTGGATGCGGGAGAAATTCTCAACGGGCACACAGATGCTTTTAAAGATTGGAGGCTTCAAATATTGTGGTCCCCCCCCCCCTTCCAGACAATATTTCTGCCCTTCTTTTTTTTTTTTTTGCCTAGGTTAAGAGGTCCTTGTTCAGAACACCTGGGAGATGGGCAAAGGGAAGACGTGGAGAGGATATCACCCAGTTTACAGGTAGCTCCTATTCTCCTGAGCAGAGTCCAAACACAAGAGCAAAAGGCCAAGAAACCACTGGGATTCTTTGAGGGTAATGCCCCCTCCCTGCAGGATTCAGGGAGTCAGGTTGCACTCATGCAGAACCGGAGTATTCTTTAAGAAAATGTTCCCTATTTTTGTGTGCCGTGGCAAACTCAGGGGGAAATGTAAGGGTTGCCATGGTAATATCTTTTTTTCTTTAACCAATCGGTCACATGGGACCCACGCACATTCTGGAAGCTATTAGTTCCAATACTGAGTCTTGTTTGAGAGCTCTGTCTGCATCTGGAATGGTAGGAGACAGCTTCTTTGGTGGATGAAGGTGGCCAGGGCCCACTTCCCTTTCCCAAGTGAAATGCCTCCCTGCTCATCACCTGTACGATGTGAGGTGTGTATATAGGAGAATCACCTATTCTTGCAGTGAGAAGTCACTGTCACCCCATAGCAGACAGCCTACGTCTCTGACTCCTAAGTCTATTAAGGAATACAGGGCACAGTGAGGGCTGGGCTCCTCCCTTCTGGTTCTTGCAGAAGTCACCTCCAGTTGGGGCCACCTGGGCATGGCGGACCAGGGTCTTCTGGAGCCTTCAGCCATGAGCATGATAGCCTGTAATGAGGATGTTAATTGGCTTAAGGCCCTGGTGAAGCTTTCTGTACACAGGTTGTGGTGGAGTGGGGGCTGCCTAAAGCCCAGAGCCTTAGATATATCAAAGACAGACTGTCCAAGCAAAGCAGCCATGGTGCAAGTTACAGGGACAAACTCTGGGCTCACAGCTGTCTCCACACACTGTGTCCCTCAGCCCCCAGGTGCCACGTTGAGGTTACTGTGGCAGCAGGCTAAATTCTAGGCCATCAGAGAGAGTTCTGTCTTCTTTATGCCCTCTTTCCTAGCAGCCTAGACAGGGATATAATCTCCTAGATTTGGCTCCTGGGTAGGAAGGGCTTGTTTCCAGGTCATTGTGAGAGTGAAAAGGGGTTCTCTTTAGGGAAGGAATGCTATGGCCTTTGTAAGGAAAAGGTTGTTGATACCTCTCCAGAACTCCTTTTAATCCCCACTCCTAAACACTGGCTAGTATCTCTGTGAATGAAATCTAACCCCCACATTCTTTGAGATCTGTCTTCCAACTGGAGGCAGAAGAACTTGCAGCAAAGCAGTGTTTGAAGAGGTACTCTCTTTCTGCCCTGAAGGTCAGCCTCAGCTGCAGTACTGCACCCCTCTCTCATGGAGTAGGGGTCTTTTAAGAATAACCCTTGGATTTTCTACTCAGTCTACCTAGGATCCTGCAGCCCCATCTCTTGCAGGACCTAATGTAGTGGTTCAGGGGTCATTGAAAGGTAGGGAAGCATGTCCCTACAACACTTTTTAATGCCCTCCCATTCATGTCCAGATGGGAGACAGCAAGCCACCCTGAGCAGAAACTAAGGATGAAGTTTTCTGATGTATTAGTATTCTGCATTTGGACCTGTTCTAGTTTATGATTCTGATCCAGGGCCCTGTGGTGAGTCAGCCAAGGGGAGGGGCAGAAGGGCAGGTGTGCAGTGTGCGCAGTGTGTGCAGTGACAGGGCAGGACAGAGAAGGAAGGGAAAGGCAGGTTGTTGCCTTCCTCAGTCTGGCCTGTATGTGCCAGACTTAAGGAGGTTTTACAGAGGGACTCTCAGCCCCCTGGCTTCTTGAGGGTTTACAAGTGCTCCCTCTTCCATACTATGGCTCAAACCCTAGTTTTACTTGTGCTCATTGTGAATATTTGCACTCTCTCAGCTGCTCCCAGGCTGTTGCCTAGAGCGCCTGCAGAGGTGAATTGGAAGAAGACCCTAAATGGAGATCCTGGCTGCTCCAAGTCTAAGAAGGCAGTAGGGAGAAAGCTGATAGGGAGATTAGACAGGAGGAGGGCTTCAGGAACACACATGGCACCAAAAAAACCTCCCTGCTGCATTCAGAGAGAAAAGATCTAGTGCCTCGACACTGGAAGAAAGTGGGGGGAAAGGAGAAGGGAAAAGCATATAGCTTTTAGATGCAATGGAAAGAAATAGGAGCCAGATAATTCCATTACAGAAATAAAGACCTGAGCTTGGCAAAGTACAAAGGGAAATATTACATCTAGAGATTATTGGCTAATATGACTATGTAAGCTTGACTTAAGAGTGGTGGCTATTATGGGACCTGGGAAAAGTGAGGAAATTACAGACTTGAAATGGTTTTGAAAATGGACCATTGGATTCAGTTCTCTTCCCCAGCAGTATTTCACAGGCAGGACAAATTACCTGTCATGTTGGCTACACCCATTAACATCTTTCCCCCTCCTTGTGAAAATGAGTCAGTTGCAGAATCTGAATGCCAGCAATATTATGTAAAATACAGTCATTTAATCTTTCCTCTTTTCTACTTTGGACTGTATTCCTCTTGTTAGCTGGGGAAAACTAACTAACGAAGCAAACTTTAAGATGGGGAAAAGGTAAAATGCACCCACGAGGACCTTAACTTACAGAAGTCATCAGGCATGGAGGCATGGTGGGCTCCATTAGTTCAGACGACCGGGGTGGGGCTGCCAACAACTCCTCACCACCAGTCTCAGTCCCTTCCCTGCCGTCCACTTGCTACACCCCTGTACAGAAGACGCAGGGATGAAGGTGGGAGGGAGGACAAGCTCATATCTGAAGGAAGCGATTAGGAAATGATGACGTCACACATGAAGAAGCCAAATACCTATGTCTGTCTATGTATCTATGTTATAGAGATGCCCACGATTACACTTCTCTGTTCTCTAGTGGCAGACAGGCGGTGAAGCTGGGAGGAAGGCTCTCTGCAGATTCCAAAATGCTGGTGCGGGATGGGCTCTAGGAACAGAAAGCCAAGTGCCGACGGAAACCGAGAGCTCCCCAACTCTACCAACCGAGTCCTGTACAAAAGGCAGAAAGAACGGAAGCAATGGAGGTGCAGCTGCAGACTGCCAAGGGCTGCACTCACTTCAAGGCTTTCCCCTCATGCCTTGGGGGGAATCTCCACAGGGTGGAGGGGGGAAGCCAGGGCGAGAAGGAAAGCCCCCTCTACTGAAGCAACCCGGAAGCCAGTCTCTTGGAGATGAGGGTTGACCCCAGTAGGAGTCTCCTGTTGACCGCTGGGCTGCAAGAATGGGGCGTGGAGGTGATTACGTGTTCATGCCTCTCTCGTGCTCTCTCACCTTTACTTCTGGGTGGCCGTTGGAGTTCCAAGAAGAAAATGAAGTTTTTCTTTAAAGTTACTACTGGTGGTTGAAGCAATAATTTGGAACTCCTGGCTATTTATTGCATTAGGAAACAAAAACCATTAAAGCATTGAAGACAGCCCTTTTGTGTCCCTGCCAAGGAGGTGAAGTCGATTTGCAACCCCAGTTGCACTGCAAGCTTGGGTTCTTTACTGAACTGTGCCATTGTCTGCATTCGTCCCTCAGTCCATGTCTGCTTTGTGGAGGAAGAGTCTGCCCGCAGGGCATGCACATGCGCGGTGAGCTGGCAACACAGTGTGACTGGCTGGCGGGAGGCTGCTACTCCATGCCGCTCCGCAGGATCTGATTGGCCGCAATCAGCATGACGCTTATAATGAAGGCCATGGCGAAGGCGCATATGAGGCTCTTCCGGACGCAGGTCTGTCTGTTCTGTTTCTGGGAATGCACTGGATGGGGTAAGGTTGGAGAAGAGAGGGCAAGGGCATGTGTAGGGAAGAAGAAATGGTTGGGGAAAGGGAGGTAGGAGAAGAGAGAAGACAGAAATGACACAGTGAGACAGGTTGCACTACTTCCTCAACAAGCGAGGCTGGGTCCTATAGAATGAGACTGGGCAAATCAAGTCAGCAAGCACTTAAGGGACAGCTGTTCAGAAGAACATCGCACCTTCTGGCAAAAGGTATGAAATGGCAAAATAGGGAACATTCCAGAATAAGTTTCATAAAAAATAGCAAACAGTCGTTGCTGTGTCCATTTCTGTAGCTGATACAGAGTGAGCTTCCAAGGCCTCTCTTTACCTTCGTGGTGGGTATGGACCAACTTACCTTTCCTGGAATCGGTCTTGGGGGGCTGCTAGCTAAAATGATGCTAATTGACTTCTGGAATAGACATATAGTGGTTGTGGGGTAGGGTTTCTGAACAAGCATCATACCCATTACGAGGAGTATATTAAAAATGCAGATTCCAGGGTCAGCTGGTTGTACAACTGGACCCGTATGGCAAGGTCCTGGGTCTGTGTTCTGGGACCTTCCTGTGCACACCAAGCATGTGTGCCAGTGATCCAAGTCTGCTGAGACCTGGAGTGGATTATGGTGGGAAGACCCTGTTGGGGGTACTGTTTCTCTCTCTCTCTCTCTCTCTCTCTCTCTGTTTCTCTCTCTTGTGTGAGCACTGTCTTTCTCAGGGAAGAAGTAAATAAATATACATTTTAAAAAATGTACATTATTGGCTGGGCCCCACCTAGATGCTGGGCCCCACCTAGATCTACTGACTGAGAGGCCCTTGGAATGGGGCCCCGGGATCTGCATTTATCAAGCTCTCCATGTGATCCTGGATTTTGCTGAAGTTTGAGAAGTGGGGCCCTCACACTCTGTGAATAGGACCAGAATGAAAAACAGGAGGTATAGAACACTCTCAGACATTCCAGAGGCAGCATGTCCTGCCCCCGGGGGGCTCCATTCCCTTCATCTTTCTGTCACCTAGTTCTTGCACTATTGTTTTTATAAGGCTCATGAGGACCATGCATAGGTCTCAATCAAAAGGTATTCATTAGTGGGTTCCCAAGATGGGCCAGAAACAGGGAAAAGGAAATAACAGACAAAAAAGCGTTGATGCAGAACACTGGGAAGGAGCAGGTCCCTTCTTTGGGCATTGCTTCTCAGAAGAGAGGCTGCAATCGACTCTGAGGTCAGGAATTTTCCCCTCTCCTTCATCTTTCCCTGTACACCTCTTCCCGCCCCCTCTTTCCTGCAGTGGCCTTTCCTGAGCACCTGGTTTACCACCCTCAGTTTATAAAAGGTACTTGTGCCTGGGAGGCAGGCAGGAAGTCACCCATAACCAGACCAGCAGCATCAACATCATCTGGGAATTTGATACAGATGGGGTTCTCAGCCCCATTGCAGAACTACTGAATCAGATCTCTGGGATGGAGGCCAGGAATTTGTGTTTTAACAAGCTACTCAGGTGATTAGGTAATTGCCGGCCCCACCTCTTGAGTTTTTGATTCAGTAGGCCAGAGTGCAGTTTGAGTGTATGTGTGTGTGTGTGTGTGTGTGTGTGTGTGTGTGTGTATACTTGGGTGTGTATTGGGGACATCGGGTATGGGTGTTAGGGAAGATTCAGCTATTCAAGAAAATTGGCAAAAGAAAAAGATTTGGGGCCATCAAGTGGCATGGTGGATAGGGGCACTGGACTCCCATATGGCTGACCACAGTTTGAGTCCTGGACCTAGCGGCTGGCTTTCTCACTTTCTCTCACTCTATCGCTCTCTCTCTCTCTCTGTACCACTCTGGTCAAATTAAAATAAGTAAATAAATAAATAAAGTTAAATAAAATAATTCTTTGAAAAGAAAAAGATTCAAGGTAGGGCCCAGGTGCCTTCAAAGAATGTAAAAAAAAGTCTAATCTCAGGTATTTCTCCCCCTTGACATTTCATGACTCCTCTAAACCCTGGGAAAAAAATTTAAAAAGGCAGAAGTAGGAAGCCAGCTATGTTTCCAAAGGCAAGCAGAGCTTCCCTTGAGAGAAGGGGCCCCAAAGCTGATCAAAGGACTTCTAAAAATGACATCAAGCAGGTGTCTGCCTCGCTCCTACCCCCTGCCCTGTCCAGCTCCTGGCCTCTTCCACAATACTCACTGGTTATTTCTACCACCATCTCTTAGGTCTGTCTTGTTATCATTAATCTGTCCGAATCCACTAGACTTCTTCTTTGAGTGATTAATGCTTTTGTGATTCAATTCTCTGCTTACTAGATCTTAGAATCTTTTAAGATCTTACCTAGAAGAAAAATTCCTTGGTGCAGATATGGGCCTCCTCGCAGGAGTGAGCAAATGCAAAAGAAAATGCCAGCTCTCAGGAAGGAAAAAAGGAGTGGATGTTTCAGAAGGAAAGGACCGAAGAATAAAATTAAATGAGGATGTGGAAGTAGCATATCCTAACGCTTTCTGAGGACTGGCTAATTTATTCTGGGCAGCTGTCCTGTGCAGAAATACTTCTGAAAGTGGTCCCTATGCCATTCTATCCCGAGACCTCTGAAAAGCTTTAGGG